ACAAGAGACACTACAGGAACATCGCCCAAAGGCTCGTACTAACCTGAGCAGCGCCAAAACCTCATTGACATTTAGGTCCTGCCAGAATGGTCCAAGGTTCCCTCTCCCCGAACCTTCGGAGCTACCCTTCCCCTGCAGCACCGAAGGGACCTTTTCACGGGTGCCGTGGCAACGTGGGAGGGAGGGCAACAAAAATCCCAAAATCCAGTCATGGGAATTGCCGAGGAGACGGCGGGGAAAAAACGTTCGGGCTTCAAGAAGTCTAATCGCCACGGGCGGCCGTGTTTCCAAAGGCCCAACAATCTCCCGAAGGCTCTACCGTGTATTTCTAGGTGCGCCAAGGGACTACGGCCAAAGCACAGAATGCGTCGCCATCTCAAAGAAGAAATATGCGTTGACCCCGAATTTGGCCACATCCTGGAGTTCTCAGACAAGTTTCCACCCAAAAAAGTGCAGGATTCCCTGTTTAATGGGGCGGTTGATTGATTTGGGTTTCACTTTTCAGTTCATGTTTAGTCAAGGCCCGAAAATGTTGACTTTGTGCATTGGCAACAGAGAGGTTTAGGGCATTTGTCGTGATGCCAAGCGGAACCCCCTTGAGGTTACGTAGAAGCTTGCGATTGGGAGTCAACCACTTTGGCGGCTTGTCACAACGATTCCTTCCAACAACAGTGAAAGGTGACCTCGTGAGAGGACAAACCCTGGTAAATGTATCATTGTGCCTTTGCTGCAGGTTGCACAGCAACGGACCTTCTTTCGTGATTTCCTTCTTCCTTTAGGCAGTGCAGATGTGGTATATGTCTGTACGCAGAGATTTTGGCGCGCTTTAGCGGCTGGCTTCCGGTTTTTAAGCCGTAGTTGACGAAAGAATCTGAGATGCATGTCATAGCGGCGTCATGCCAGGGACTTGTTTTGCTCATGTCACAAGGGTGCCAACTACACCGGTGCTCCTTCACAACATGAAGAGTATGCACTGCTCGCAAAGGGCAACCAGCTTGTAAACGCAAGTACGCCTCTCCCAGCAGGATCGCAAACACATTGAATGTCCCATGCGATACCCCACCTATTGAGCCTGGGGTACAGGGTGCCCCTCCTTGTGCAGTGCTTAGAGGAGTCAAAAAGCAGCCAATTTCTGGGTTGGGTGCCATATTCTTAGCACGGCCCAAATTATACAATCTTTGATGCGATCCTGCTGGGAGCACCCTGTACCCCAGGCTCAATAGGTGGGGTATCGCATGGGACATTCAATGTGTTTGCCACGGGTGAAAGTATCTGCAGCCAAACACAAGAAAGACTAAAGGTTCTTCTCCTTGGCTCGGGCCGTAGAAGAAGCTGAGTTGGCACAAGGCATCGAGCAATTCTCAGTTGTCCAAAGCCGACCTTTTGACCTTTTGGTTTTCCCATGTTGGTCCATTTTTTGTAGAGGTGCCAAAAGGTTTAACTTTCAGTTCTGGGTCCTTTGGGCAACTGAGAATTGAACACTCATCACAGCTGCCAGGGGAGCTTTTCTTGCCCGCGCCAGCTGGGCTTGTATTGAGACGAGATCCTCCAAGCTGGCAATCCTGGAGACCATCCCGGTCGAAGGATGAGCTTGAAGACTGAACCGCGATGGACATCGCTTTTCCAGTGACTAATCCGTAGGGGTTCTTTTCTGGCCTTTTCATTCGAGTGTTTCTACCATGAAACCAAAAGGAAACCAACCATTTTGAGGGTTTCTTCTGGTTTCCCTTTTAGACAAAGTCCAAATAGGGACAAACCCTGTCCTTTTGGTTTCCTCATGAGGGGGCCCCTATTTTTTGAAGCCCCGACAAATGATGTTTCACAGAATAGGGCACTCTTTTTCGGAAGGTTTTGCGGGTTCCACTCTGAGACAAACCCAAAGCGGGACCCCGCAAATGTGAACAAATCCAAGGCACGGATTTCCGGTCGCGACTCTTCCCGGGGTCTCAGCGCCTCATGGAACTTGCGGACTCCATCGAGGAGGCGAAGCAGCGATTCGAGTTGGGAGAGGAACGGGGCCCGCTACGGATGCCAAGTAAAGGTGTTTGTTTGTTGGCTTGGCCGTTGGTTGGCTGGAAGGGCGAACGGAAACCCAGGTTAGGTAAAAGTATCTAAAAGACTCTTTTGGAGAAGCTGACAAGGACTTGATATTTCCGGCACCCTTGGGTTGGTTTGCAGGGGAATCAAACGAGAAAAGGGTTCCTAACTTTTCCCTGCTGTTTGTGAGTCATTCTTGTCTTGATGAGTTTGTTTGTTTCTTTTTCCGGGGGGGGGATTATTGGATCTGTTTTTGGGGGCCTGTGCATTTTCTGTGCGAGTGTATGTGTGTGCTTGTGTGCGTGTGTGCGGGGGGGGGGGGTTAAATTAAACATCTTGTCTCTTTGGCTTTTACATCCACCGCTTGTTTGCCAACCATTGTCGACCTTTATCGACTCATTGACGTTCTGGTCAGTGACGCGTGAGGGTTGTTCAGAAAGGGCTTCAACTTAATACGGAAATAAGGGGCCGCGTCTTTTTGGAGGATACCTTTTTGGCCAATGCGAACCGCATTTAATAATTTTGTTGAGGGGTTCCTCATTTAGAGACAGACCCAAGCCTTCGAACATCTAGGACCCCCCGCCGCGGTGTCATTGCAAAGCGGGAACCACCCTGACCAGAATGAACGAAACAAAGGTAGAGACTTGTTTGGCTCTGCTTTGGACTTCGGCGGTTGAGAACGCACGCCATAAAGTCAGCATGGGGCAAACTGGTAAGGACGACGCCTGGACACGTCTCCAGATCTAGTTTGAATGACCATGGCATCACCGGACCCAGGAAGCCGAGAGGCACAACTGAAGCTTGTTGGTCAATGTTCCAAGAGATGAATCTTTCAGTTCCAGGTCCTTTGGTGTTCCCTTTCCACAGGCCCCTGGCACCCACTCCTTGCCCTCTGGGACATGTTTGACTGTTGTGGAAGCTGTTTTCCTTGTACCTAGGTCTTACAAAGAAATACCTAGGCAAATTACACATGGGGTCTCAAAATGTGATCCCCCAACAACATGTGCCAGTGCCCTGGGTTTCACTTCATGCTCAAACAACATGCGCCGAGCCTTACCAAAAGACGCCCCCAGCCATTTGTTTTCAGGTGAAGACCACCTGTGCTTTTTGCAGCAGGCCGGCTGGGAATGGACTCCATTCGAGCAGCCATCGCTTTGAAGGCTTTGTATTCGGTTGTCATTTCTGTGATTGTTGTTTCCCTGGCTGTGGCTCATTCATCAACTGGGTTTCCATTGAGGCTGAGTGTGCAGATCCACATGAACCCATGGCCATGTGGGACCTTTGAGCGGCAAGTCTTCCATAGCAAGTCAGAATGAATGGCGAATTTGGCAATAAACAAGGGATTCATGCGTACATGGGTTAACACATTCAGTTTTTGACTGCGTTGCGTAGTTGTTTGTTTCTTCCTTTTGAATATCGGGCTAAGGGTATCGACCAAGATCAGTTGTCAGGGAGCCACCAAAATGGCAGGTTTCCTGGCGGTACCCCTTTTTTGGTTGGTATCAAAGGGAGTGCAAAAAAGAAAGCCACCTTTTTGGGGGGGTCCCTACAAAAGACATACCCGCCTCCGCCAGCCCCGCACCCCCCCAAAAAATGGGAGTAAAACAACATAAAGAAAGGGGTGCTTCCTTTGTTCAACTGTTTGTGGCTGAAGAACCCCTTCAACATCAACCAGCCAAAGCAAGGGTGTCACTTTTTCCTGGGCTAAAGTAAAGTGACAGGTTTGGGCATCACAGACGGGATGTTGGTGTCACGGCAGTTCTGCCCCCAGAAGCCGATAAATCCGTGCTAGTAATAAGGGCTTGTTCTGCTCAAACAGTGATGAATCACCACCAAAAGGGGAGAACCCTTCCCTACTACTTAGCCAAACGGTTATCAATCCAGGGATCCAATTTTTGGGCACTATTCGGCCTTGTTTGGATGGAGTTTAGCTTCGATGGGAGCAACCCCCCTCTCCAGAAGGCCATGGCCCAGGAAGGTCAACACAACGACTTTTGACAATGGCACGGTTCGTCGCCAAGTGGAGGAACCGCAGTACAGCTGTCCCTGAAACCACCCCAAGAAGACTCGCCTTCAAAAAGGCATCCAACAAATATCGTTGCCTTTACCGTGGATGGACAAAATTCGGCAGCAGTTCTTAGACGGCCAATCTCAGTGTTGGTGGTGCTTCATCCATCCAAAATGCCCCATGCCATGGAAACATCCACAGTATGGGGCACCCACAACAGTACAGTTTGTTTCCCCCTGTTGGTTTTGAAGGGAACCTACCACTGATGGACATCGCATTTTTGTCATCGCTAATGGAAGCAACTGTCCCTTGGCCCCTCGAGCGCAGGAAGGCCACGATGAACTTGAGGAGCGGTGGGCTCATTTGAGTGTGCATGTGTGTGTGTGTGTGTGTGTGTGCGTGCGTCTTTCTGAGGCCTATTGCCAATTCTGTTTGAGTCGTTCGAAAGGGAAGCCAAAAGGAACACCACTTTGGTCTCCCTATTTTGACACGTACCCAGTTTCCTAGTTGCTCTTGGGTGGAACCTTCAGCATGTCAACGTCACTTTGCTTTGTGAGGTTCACAAAATATGGGCCAGAATCTGATAATCACTTTCTAGTTGGGACAAAATCTGAGGTGGGGTGGGGGAGTAAAACCGAACTCTTTAGGCACATCAATCATATCATCAAGATCTGCGAAGCTACTGGCCTGCCGGGTACGCAAAAGCGGGTTTTGCTACCACTACCTCAGAGGGAAAGTGGCGTGTGTATGTTGTGTATGCTTATATACATATATACACATGTATCAGTCTAGAAACAGATTTAATTTTCTCTCGTGGAAGTAGCGGTTTGGAGGTACGTGAATCCACAGTAGAGTCGTGCTCATCGAGCGGCGCGCTTTTGGGTTTCGGCTTTGTGCGGGACCGAGGTGTTGATGGCAAGGGGACGATGGACGGCCCAACGATTTGCCTTGGAGCAGAGGAGCTGTACATGCGTCGTGTCTGCAAGCGCATACCTGTGGGTGTGGGGGTGGGTGGGCTGTGTTTTGTGCCGTCCTTTGAAGGGGGTACCAAAAAGACCCCTGCTCTCAGGTGTGCTCAAGATGTCCAGGAATATATCTATATATATATATATACATGTATATTTATATTTGGCTAACTTGGTTTTCACATGAAAGGCGTGAAAGACACTTAACTTCGCAGGGGTAGTCACTGTTCATGGAAACGGCTGGGTTGTTCAAAACCAGTCCCTAATCCTTGTGCCAGAAAGCAGCGGAATCTCTTGCTGTTGCAGTGTAGAGCCGGCGAAGCCGTGGGCGGAAGTTTCACAATATAACGGTAGATGTTTTAGGCCCATAGGCAGCTGTGACACTGTGACCTGACCTGTTGGGAGAATCTCCAGTTCATGAACGACCCACTTATCAAGACCATTTTCAGGTATACCACCAACACAAGCTTGTATCGGCATGTACCCTTGAGCTAGAATCTCGAGAAGAAAGATGGTGAAGATGTCCAGTCAATGGTTAATTCATGCTTGCCAACTCGGATCGACGTGCCTCAGACTGAATGTATGAGCCCATGTATATACAACCCTCCCATTGAAACCCCTCGCCAGTTTCCGAGGCCGCCGAGGCCACTTCCTTAGCCCTTTACACGTTTGAGAAGCAAATCGCGGTTCCATCAAACCTTCTCAAGTGTCAATTAGGCCTTCTGCTCAGAGGGGCTTGGAGCAAGCCAGGCACGGCTGGGTTTACCTTTTGGGCCGCTGCTTGCACAGGAGCGATTGGTTGCAGGTGTGAGTTCCGTGCTGCAGGCCCACCTGCTACAGCCACTTCTGCGAGAAGATCGCGGAGGGCACCGGGAAGCCCGTTGACTTCTCGGAGCCGGAGATCGTGAAAGCAGAAGGCTCGCCGGAAGGGAGGGCCCGTCGCCAGAACCAGGACAAGACGGAGCTGTTGGGCGCCTTTTCCATTTCTGGCTCCTTTCTGGGTGTGCTTTTTGGCTCGGGGACCACAACGTTTGACTGAATAATCATGCACCTGGGTCCTCTGGCACGCGCTGCCTGACAGTCATAGGATTCCAACCCTCCCATACCCCACTGTCTTGTGCATTTCCTGTTTTAGCCGGATTTGTCGGAAAGGTGGTAGGATCTTTTCAGGCTTTGGACTCCTCGTGGCCAGGCAAGATGCTGGAGAGTGGGACACCAGACCGGAGGTGGGCTGGGCAGGGCAGTTGTGGGAGGGGTTGGTGCCCACTTCTGTGATGTCTCCCAAAAAAGCTAGTTGATAAATGGCCACCCCACTTTTTCGGGGGAGGGGGGGTCTTTTTTTTGGTTCCTTTTGTGTAGGCGCACCCTCGTGAGAAACAGCTGGGGGCTTATTGAGCAGGGGCCAACATCCATTGTTGACCCCGCGATCAATCAACCTGGTGGATGAATACGGGGTTGTTCTCGACAGTAAATCAATCCCTTTGCCATAAAATTGACCACCCTATTCGTGAATCCGGGGTCGCCTGTGCAAGCTACACAGAAAATGGCGTCGCAGCGCGACTACATGGTCGCAATTCATGTTTCTATCTTCGGGAGCCATTGCATCAGGACTGATAGTGATAATGATGGGCCATTAAGGACCATAAAGGGCCTGAAGCTCCCCAATCCTTCCCACACCTCCCCTTGTTCTGGCTCTAAAAAGCACTCTCTGGGAATTGTGATGCATTGATTCTTAGATTTGTTGCTCGCAGCCGTGGTCAATTGCTCTTGGCTCAAGCCAAGGCTTGTTTACCTTTGCAGGTTGGAGAGAGTCAAGGGTCATGAGGAAAAGTGTGCATCTTTCCATTGTGCCTGAGGCAAATGCAACATTGCGACAAGAACTGGGGTCGCTTCAACTGCGCCTTTGCGCTTCCCTCCGTAACGGGATGCATTCCGCGTTTCGGTTGCACGTTGCCGCTAGCTAGCAGCATGTTGATCCGTTAGTTTAGGCATAGGCTTGTCTTCAAAGAGGCAAGCGGCAACTGCCCTTTGAATCTGTTGGGGTTCGAGGCAGTCATTTGCCCGAGAGATATGGTCGTCGCGTTGTGCGAGTTTAATGTAGGCTGGTCCTGGCGGAGCCGGAGGACGAGAGGTCGCCCGAGAGGTGGGGGAAGTTGCCGTTTTTGCAAACGGGAGCAAACCTGAGCGGCGCATCAGCAGCATGAGGGCCATGATCAGAATGGGGATGGGGAGTGCTCTGAAAGTCGGGTCATGCTCACAGGGGCAGTTAGCGCCGCGTACGTGAATTTGATTGCCGAACGTATGTTTGTCTTGTTTTTCTGCTACTGCATGCTACTGTTAAACAAGTAACACAGTTGACGGCTGCGTGTGCGTGTGTGTGCTGTTTATTCTGTTTCTTTTTTTTGACCTATTTGATCTCGACTGAAGTAGAGCAAGGCTTTGGTCAGCATACCAGGGGTGGGGCTGCATTCAGCAACCGGGATCGACAATTCTGGGCACATTTACAGGGGCCAATGCAGCAGATTTCTTTCAGCGGGAGTTCTTTCAACGACCAAACCTCGAGGGTCCGGAAACAGGGGAAATTAGGCGTGCTGAATGATCCATTCCTCTCAGGGAGCCGTTGCTCACTTCCCCATTTCGTGCGCTTGAAACTCTTAGGGGAACATCATTTCCGCGGAGACTTTTTTCCCATGCAGATTCCAATCAGGAAGTGACTATAAGAGGGGATGGATGTTTATGGGCAACTAGCTCGCGAGCGGGCCCAACATGGATGGCAATGAGTTCACAGACATAATTGAGGGTTGGCTCCGCATAGGTAGTGTTGACTGATTTCCGTTATGTTCGATTTTCATTTGTACTGCCTTCTTGATGTTCGAAGATAAACATGTTCAAACGCGGGTTAACGCATCAAGCGGCCAAACCAAGCTGAATTTGGGACCGCCAGGTGAGGCACGCGCGGGGACTTGTTTGGTGGCATTGCCGGGAGCCCAGCAATGCGCGCCGCACGTTGCCAGGAGCTTCCCCACTACTTAGCTCTCCTCCAAAACTGTTTTGCATCTTCAGGGTAGGTCATATGAAGCAGAATCTGAGGAACTTATGTTCTGTGTACCCCCAGATGCGGGCCAAGACTCAACACAGTCAGCTCCAACAAGGTGGCTTTTTTAGTGGGACATCAGCTGTTCTTAAGGGGCTTCTTTTGGGAGGGCCGAAGCTTTCTCCGATACAGTAGCTCAACCAATCGAAAGGTGCTTCCCTTCAGCCCAGACTCAACTTAGTGTTTCAACCTTTTGCCTTAATCGTCTACCTTTTTGATGGTGTTCCATGATTCTCTCCGAATAGTTGACATTCTTGCGGGGGATTGCATGGCTGGCCGGGTTTTATGCGGCAGAGACACACACTGTGGTACAGCTTTGGCCGGCAAATGAGCACTCATGTAAACCAAAGGGAAGCATACTCCGCAGACGAAGGGAAGGCACCCGAGAAGCCCCATACTCATTTTGCAGGGGGACACCCATTTCGGGGTTCCAGGTGAATGAATTTGAGGGGCGCATTTTCGAATGTCTGGCGGATGGAGTTTTGCTGCAGCAGAGTTGAACCGAGGCCGGGGCAGCAATGTCAGATTTGCGGGAGGCTGCGCAAGGCATGCCGAGCCTGTGAATCTCAAGAAGGAAAAGCGAGGAGAGCGTGCTTTCCTGACTCAGAGCCACAACAAGCGGAGACATTGGAGCATAGTAGCGACACTATTCGAAACTTCTAGGAGGCTATCAAGGACAGCTATGGCCAAAACCTTCCGTGGCTCCCTTTGTTCTCGCTCTGAATCAGAATTGGAGTATGGGCGCTTGTGTGATGAACGTTTGAAATATGTTTGCCATAGTTGACGGCGAGCTCACCGGGGGAGTTGCCCTGTTCCCAACAGGAATGCAATTGCATCGGCTGAGTTGACAACTGAACCCGCCACCATTTTGAAACGGGCCCTGTCCTTCAGACAGGAAGGAGGGCAAGTTTGCTACTTCACCCATGAGGACTCTCTCTGTTTTGGGGATTCCTGAATTCAGGTTTGGCATAGAGGCTTGCTCCGCGATTTTCTGACTCTTAGTTGCGCTCACTCAAGGCAGCCCAGTGTTCTGCAGCAGGGTTCACTTCCGTGGCATTGCAAGACGACTCTTGGAAGTCCGCGAACCCCTTCGTTTTCTCCCAGCGCGGCGCCCCTGGCTCCCTTCGATTGGGCAGCAAGGGGGGCCGAGCCGAGAAAGGTCATCACTTAAGCTTTCGCCACGCTGTGGTTAATTACCTGCTGCCTTGGCCACCCGCAGCGGCCGCTGGCTGAATCCAGCCTCAAAGGAAAGCACGGGCCAATTTTGTAGCACTGGGTTGCTGGGTGGCTTGTGCTCTTGCACGGCCCTAGCAGGATGTGAACGCTATTTTTGTCCCAAATGAGTTGCCAGTGGTCTTTGGAGCACCGCCCTCAATACAACCTTATTGCAACATAGGCCATGGGTTTGAAGTGTTCTTCGCAGCTGGCGTTGGGGCTTTTGTGGCACACACATGCGCCCGGCAAGCGCCCGTCAGTTTTGTAGACTTGGGGGTCAGCTTCTTCCTTGAGAACACCGTTTAGTTGAACGTAGGACCTCGGACATCACCAAGAGGCTTGCACCCAGCAGACAAGCTCGTTTCAGGTTAGTCGCGGGTCGCATTGTTGGGCCCGTTTTGTGGCTCAATTCAACTTCCAGCGTTTGCTTAAATTTGGCGCAGCGCGCATTAGTCTTGAGCGTGGCGGCCCAGCGAGTGCCGGAAGCGGGCTCAGGGCGGGAGTGGGGGTCATTCGCTGCCGCGCCCCATGCCCTTATGTATTTGTTTTGCTTGAAACTTCTGTTCAGTTGGGGCCCTTGGTGGCTGCACCTAAAGTTTAGGCTGAAGCTTTTGAAGCCCTTGAACTTGAACTAGTCGATTCCCACGTCGGAAAGTTCTGGTTGGTTCCATTGCACCTTGCCCAGGTCTGTTACTGGCGCTTCTTGGAGCCCTTCTCAGCCCTTCGTTAATTGTCGGATCCCCTTCAAGACCAATCCCCGTCGTTTTTATGGCTTTCTGCTCTTTGCACTCCATTGCCCTTTCACTCCCCCTTCACGTCCCTCTTTATTTCCCGTTTGCCTAATGTCCCCTTCATTTCCCTTCATTCCCTCCAGTTCCCCCCGGCCCGGCGAAGAGCCGGGCGTGCGTTTTACTGTTGACTTCGTTATGCGGGTTTGTCCAGGCTCACATGCCCCAAACAAGATTGGGTTTTCTATCACTTCACACGCAAAGCGTGCATATTGTCATTCCCATCTTTGCTTCCCCAACTTCTCCAAGTAGTTGGTCCGCAGTGTTTGACGCTGCCCAATCCTATGTTGAAAGCGCACACGGGATCCAGATTTGGGAGGACAGCTTGCATGCCAGCGTGGCCGCAGGCCCATAGGCGCGCGCGCGAGCACACATGGCCCCATCTCACGCCAACGCCCACGCACAGGCACACGCGCCCACGCCATGCACATGCACACACCCACGCACCCGCGCACCCGCGCACCGACACACACACACACAAAAACAAACAAACAAACAAACAATCAAACAATCAATCAACAAGCAAACAAACTCACAGAGACATAGAGACACAGAGACACAAACACAAGCCCACACCCGCACGCACGCACACACCCCGCCACACAGCTAAGTTCACTTGTTTCAACCTCGGGTACCTCCGGTGAAGGAAAACAAGGCATGGGAAAATATTCGCCGAGAGATTCCTGCGGCCATCGCTGCAAGTTTGATATGTTCAGAGCCACTGGCACCTTCCCGGAGCCTCGCCACGAGAAAGACGGAGGATTGTTCACAACCGGAGGTCGCAACCGGAGGTATCCAGGCAACGATGCGTTGAACAGTTGCACGGGTCGCACAAAAATCTAAGGACTCCTTGGAATTCCTGCGATTCTTCGGCTTCTGACTGAAGGGAAATGAAGCGGAAGGGGACATGAAGAGAATTGGAGACCGATGAAAGGACATGGAAGGAAATTAAGAGCAAATTACATTGAAAGGGAAACGAAAGGCACCAGGGTCGCATCCTTGTTTTTCGTCTTTAGGAGGGTCTTTAGGAGGGTGCCGGTTTGGCTGGTTTCGAAAGGAAACCCAAAGGATAACAACGATCCTACGAGAAAAGTAAATGTGGGAGCTGTTTCCCGATATTGCACGCATGGCCCTTTCGGCTTGTGTCTCATGCGTTGCAGGATGGTGCAACCCACGGGTTGCCTATCATGACTTGCCTGGAATCACAAGTGGGGAGCCCCTCATTGGAAGCACAATCCTTTGCGTTGAGGACTCGACACAGGCAGCGCCTTCAACATGGCCCTGGAGATGACGCGCCTTGACCAAACTGGTCGGCAACCCCTTGTCAACATCCTTCCTCTTTAGTATTTTTTTTAGTCAAGGGCAGTGCCCGGAGTGTTCGCTGATTTTTCCTCACTCGATAGTCAAAGCTATCTCAGGGGTCCATACGTTTCCTTGTGTTTGATGGTTCACGCCTTCTGGGGCTTACTGCACTTGTGCTTCCTTTTGGGGGATGACGCTACAGCGAAAACATAGAGACTCCCGTCGAGCTGCCATAGGCTGCCCGAAGCGATCCGTAGCCATTTTGGCTCAAGTCAGCGGCCTGGCCCGTCACCCCGGGCGACGGTTCCAGGTTCGTTTGCAAACCAAGCTTGAGCAGTCATGGTCAGCACACTTGCTGGTTACCGCAGGCTCGAGGTCCCCAGAGATGAAGTCCTTTTCGAGCAGATCACCCCTGGTTGTTGTTCTACGCTAACAGCGTTTGGTCTGATGGCCGTGGTGTGGGCTGTTTGGTCAACAACGGTGGAAAATGATATCATGTGGCCGCCGCGGGTTTCGTCCCATGGTTCAGACGGGGCCACTGGGCACAACCTCAATTGGGGCGGCTACCGTGGTGAGCTGGTCCCGGGGTATCAACACTTGTTGCATGCCGCAGCCGCCGCTGACGAGAGTTGGCAGTTCAGCGCTGAAGTCCAGGATCTCGCGGCAAGCGACAAGCATGGCCAACTGTGCCCTGTGGCAGGAGCAAGCTGCTTTGCCCTGACGAATGCCACTGGGGGCACATGGCTGTTTCTGGGGAATCCCGCCACTATCACAGCTCGTGACCTTGAGGGCTTGTTCCCTTTGCCTTGTGCGGCGTTGGCCGGCCAACGCTGCGGGTCCAGCGTCAAAGTGACTGCGGCACATGGGAAGGACGGCCTCCTCTGTTATGAGGTCCTGAATGGACATGGCAGTAAGTGCCCGGGGCCTTTAATCGAGCTCCGCTCGGCCACCAATTCGACGGAGCCTGTCCCCGAAGTGGCGCGCATTGAAAGCGTTTGGGGCATGCAGCCGCCCCACGACGACCACTATAGTGAAGGCGGTTATGGGAGCGATCGGGGTCATGCTGTCGTGGGTGATGCGAGCACGCCAGACGAACACGGCGGAGCCCATCCCGGGCACGGCGGACAACATGCCCACGATTCTGGGCACCACGGCGGGCATGGGTACGGTGGTGGCACACCCTATAGGCCACGGGGATGGCTATGGGCAAACGGACATGGACAAGCGTTACCCTGCCCATGGTGCATACAGCATCCTGTTAGTTGCCCTCCAAGCAGGTACATTTTGTGCCAGGCACAGGCGGCCGGCGGACAGGAGCTGGATCTGAGTCTTGCCTTGTGGAACGTGGTGGTGGCCATGATTTTCCTTGCCTTCGCCGTGACCAGCAACACGGATTTGTGGTTGGTGTTGATCCACACGCAATCCCTTCGTGATATGGTCACCGTGATAGATGCAGTGAGGACTTTGCTTGCTGTGTTTCTCGCTTTCTGGGTGGCCATTTTCGCACTTTGGGCTGTGATGGAAGATTCGCTGGCTGTGGTGCAGAATTGTCTCGGGACCGCCACTCTAATGCACTATTCAAGGGAGCTGGTGATCGCGGCGACAGTAGCACTCTTGCTGTTGTGGGCCCTTGATGGCCTCATGCGCCTGGTTGGATTTGCTGGAATGCACCGCGCTGTTCCGGTGCTCGGGCATGGGGGTTTGCCGAATGCGCCGGCCCTCTCGGGGGTCATATACACAGACTCGGCCTATGTTGCGAGTGGGGCCTGGCGACTTTTGCATGACCATGCTGGTCTCCCCAAGAGCAATGGGGACCTCTGGAAGCTCCTTTCACTTGCGGTCGACGCCATGCCGGCTGGCAGCCTTGGTGTTCGTCATGTTTCTGGTCACCTTGATGCCAATTCTTGCGATGACCCCATCGATGAGTGGGCAGCCCGGTGGAACGATGAGGCAAACAAAACTGCCAAGTTTGCCAATCGTCGCAGGCATACAACCTTCATGCAGTCTTGGTCGGCATATCGCGAGGCTGAGCTTGACATGCAACGTCGTTTGGATCAGCTTATCCGGCTACACCTTGACATTGCTGAACAGCTCAGCAAACATCCCGCTCCGTATCGCCTGGATGTCGATGATGAACTCGAAGCAGAGTTGCCACTGCATGTCGGCTTGCTTGTTGCTCGCCCTGAGGCTCAGCACTCCTGGTCTGAGTGGATAGTTCCGCAAGATGCCATCAATATGCATCTTGCTGCAAGTTTTGGACAGGCCTTCTTTGAAGCGGCCTTCAGTTGGATTCGGCAACAGCAACAAAGTGCTGATGCCTGTGTTTGCCTTTCGTGGCTTGAGGTTGTCGCTGTGTTGCGGACTGAGGGAGTTCCCTTCCCGGTGTCTGTTTCCTCGCTGCATGGCAATGTTTGGAAGGATGCTAGTCAGTATGGGTCATACACCAATGCTCAGGCCACAGTGGTTTCTGATCTCATGTTGGTTCGGTCCTTTTTTCGTGCTGTTGCTTCTGCTTATGGAGTGAACATTGGTGAAAGTAGAGGCCTCAATCTGGCGGCATTGAGGGTCGGCCCTCCCCAATCGGGACTGTCGATCAGTTGCACGCGCTCTGCCCTTCTGCAGGCGGAGCAGGCGCTTAGCGCTTTTACTCTCACTCGGCCGGTCCGCTCGGCAAATGATCTGAGCCGGCCATTTAGGTGAGAGGACTCGACGGACACGCGCCACACTGCGTCAGCTGTGCGCGCGTTGAGCGAAGTGCGAGTGACCATCTCTGGCTTTCCTGGGGTCATTTGGGTCAAGGCTGGCGTGCTCTTTAACGTTCGCCTTTTGAGCAGGTGAGTTGATCCGATTTCGCGATGTCCAAGAAAGCGATATGCGCGAAGCAGTCCGCCAACTTTGCTTGATCTGTCTCGGAATCGCCACTTTGAAAGGCCGGACGAGGAAGGTGGACAATTTCCTTCTCGCAAGGCCTTTGTTTTAGCCCTTCTTTCAAAACAGCCTTCTGGGAAGGCAAGCATTGGGCTTGAGGCCTTAAGATTGTATTATACACGGTCTTTTACTCGTATTATATACAAGGACCCCCTTCTCCTACAGAAGGGCCAGTCATGGGGCCTGCGTTTTGGCAAAGCAGTAAAACACTAAAAAACCTCGAGAAAACCAAAAAAACCAAAAAAAAACAAAATTGCAGACCCCATGGCTGGGCAGTCCAAGCTTGGGGACATAGGGCCTGCAATTTTGTTTTTTGTTTTTGTTTTTTGGTTTTCTCGAGGTTTTTTGCAATTTTCCAGCAAAACTAAAAAAACCTCGAAAACCAAAAAACCTAAAAAACCAAAATTGCAGACCCCATGGCTGGGCAGTCCAAGCTTGGGGACATAGGGCCTGTCCATGCAACCCACACTTTGTCACCAAGCTCCATCGTCGCTTCAAAGATGTGAACACATCCGCAGCTGAGCAGGTCTTCTCCTGGTTCAGAAATTACTCGCGCATCTTGAATGAGTCTCACCCATCACGCCATGCATTCAAGGCCTTGCTCTTTGCAAAATGGCATAACCAAGCTGTGAAGGACAAGAAGACCGGCTACTTGAACCAGTT